GAATACCATACAGGTGTGTCAGCCATCAAACTAGTTTTCTAGATACTCTGGTATTGTCCACTTTAAAAAAAAATTTGTAATTTGTTGAGTTCTTTCATTCTAATAGCCAATTTCATACCCAGTTGTGTATTTATATTGTATTTTTTTTGCTTTAAGAGGACTCCCCACACATACCCAAATATAAACTTGAATCAGCCCCTGCTTTCCATGGTCCTGAGAATAAAGTCCTTTGTCTTCATTCTGACCCACGACTCCCTGCTGCTCTGCTGATGATGCTCTCTACTGATTCCTGGCCATCCCTCACTCTCATATCCTCTCTGGAATGCTCTCCTCCCTGCCCTCCGAGAGACTGGCAGTTTCCCTGTCTCGCGAATCCAAATACCCTTTCCATACAGGTTACTTCAAATACTCTTTAATTTTCCAAAAATTGAAAACATCAGAAATTAACCAGGCATGTTATAGAAGTGAGACATCTGTGGAACTGGAAATTACCAAACGATTTCCAATTTTGAGAGACTTGGATCAGGCAGCTGAGAATTAGGTTAGAGATAATCAATTCTCTGGAACAATCAATGGCATCCATTACTCTAACCGTCAGAGGGAGCTTTTGGTGTAGCTGAAAGGTTGCTCATCTGGTTGTCTTATCCGTATAGAAAACTTGACATGCCCAGCCGGGCTTGGCTGCGGCTGAGCGTAGACCTTTGGTCCAGGAGATCACAGTTCGATTCCCGGTCAGGGCACATGCCCAGGTTGCGGGCTCGATCCCCAGCAGGGGGCGCACAAGAGGCAGCCGATCAATGACTCATCATTGATGTTTCTCTCCCTCTCCCTTCCTCTCTCTGAAATCAATAAAATATATTTTTGAAAAAAAAAATGACTTGAATTAGCATGCCACAGGAGGTGATGGGAAAGTGAACCCTGGCTAAATAAATGAAAAGCGTGGGTAATCAGAGCAGACTTCCAAACACTCGGGAAGCAGCTCCACCTTGGTTTTGTTTAATCCTCCGGTCCCTAAAAGCGTCACAGGGCAGTTTACAAATTACAAGTGGATGCAAAATATGTTTAATTTTGAATTCTCTTGTGTGCTTTTAAGGATCAGAATTTCATAATATCCCTTGATCGAAGCGAGAATGATCTGGGAACAATTAAATGGCTGATCATTAATTAAATTCTAAGATGGTAGTTCTCTTGGTGCATGGCCACAAATTTCTGGAGCATTTTGGTCTATAATTTGTTTTTTGGACTCATTTTTGGTATATGGAGCAGTGTCTATAAATACCTCTCATTTCTGGACTAGAAAGTGAGATGCAGGCTGTATATTTGATAAAAATAATTCCTACCTTTTCCACAGAATCAAACATTTGCAGTTGTGTCCTGCAGAAGTTAAAATAAGGGCATATGTTTCTTTTTGAAATTCATAATAGTATGTCATCTATGAAGAACAGATTGCTTAATGCAATAAATATATATTTCTAATAAGCTGTGTTAGTATACAAATGTTGAGCTTTTACATATTAAGTAATTGCAAGTCTGCTGCAGGAATTTACCTACAGAAATTCATATTTATCTTTGTTTTACTGCAGAGATTGCTTTTAGCAGCTTTGAGATATCATTGACATAAAAATTGTCTATTGGAGGTGTATAACTTGATATTTGATATATGTAAAGGTTCTGAGATGATCACAAGCACGTGTGTGTTTTGAGAAGATTTAAGATCTATCCTTTTGCAAATTAGAAGTACACACTACAGTACTGTTCATATTTCATGATTCAACACTCTCATATGTAAAAATTTTTCACATTTAGGGAGCATAGGCTATTGTGCTGCCCTTTCTTAAGGTGGAAAACAAAATCTTTCTTTGTAACAAGAGCTGGTATTTGCCCAGGATACATTATAATATTTACTCTGTTCTGTAGTGAATCGTCATTTCCTGTTCACTTGTGTTTTTCTGTTGGTAATTGGGTCTGCGACATTGTGCTTTATATGCTATTATTAAACTCTATTGAGACAGCTCAGTTTTTTAAATGGTTTATATTTTTGTGATATGGTTTTATGCGCTATTTAGTTATTACAATCTAATAAAATATGGCCAATTAATTTTCTTTCTTAAAGCTCTACATTAAAATGTCTGCACTTTTACATTTGATGGCAGCCGTAGACATTGTCCCTGAAAGAGACCTTTTGCTTTTATATAATTCTCTTTGAAGGACTGAATTTTAGTAACTTATCAATACTTGTTTTTTCCCTTTCATCTGTGAAAATGCGTTTAATTTCAACAGTAAAATTGACAACATCCATTTTTATCTTTAATTAACTTCTCAGTTTGGTTTCATCTTAAAGGCTCACAGCAGAATTTATCACCAAGCCATAATGGAAATGCTGAATGGAAGATTTGGAGACTCTGCCCAGCTCTGAATTTAGCTCAGAAGAGTCAACAACTACATTGATATGAAAGACAACTCCTTAGGTCACACCACTTGCAGATGACAATGTTTATTTTTTATTTCTGCTGTTTAGTTGGCCTCCTAATTCCTTTCCCACTGTCTCTCTCTTTTTTTTACCCTCACCAAGGATATGTTTTTATTGATTTTAGAGAGAGGGGAAGAGGGAGAGAGACATCAATCAGTTGCCTCCTGTACGTGCCCTGACCAGGGATTGAACCCAAAATCTAGGTATGTGGGTGAACC